AAAATATATATAAAACAATAAAAATTCTCACGACGTTTCGACCATAACACAAACGGTCGTCAACAGGTGTGTCGGTTTGCATTAATTTATTTATTTTAAACGGTGCATTTATTTATTTAAAAACGACAGCGGCACGCGCAGCGATTTGCCAGTTTATTTAGAAGGACTAGTCCATCTATGTTCTGAAAAGAGGAGGGGGGAGACGAAAAATTAATGTATGCTGTCTGAAAGCCACTGTAAGCGTGAACAATCAATTAAGACCTGAAATGGTTTATCAAATCTTTCCAATGATTGCTATGCCAGAATCCATCTTCTCGGTTGAAATTGTCTCTGTGCTTGTATATGTGGATAGCCTTATGAACGAATATCTCATGGTAGCCAGATAGCTTACAAAGAACCTCTGTCTTGGAAAAGTCAATGTCATGTGAGCCTACTGAATTATAACAATGATCTGCCACGGCCGAGGTGTTGGTCCTACCGTGTTTAAGGTCTGCTTTGTGTTCACGAATGCGGTCCGAGACATGGCGTTTGGTTTCTCCAATGTAACTACTACCACAGAGGCAACTTAGTTTGTAGACACCAGGGTACTGTATATCCGGAATCACATCTTTTACAGACGGAACCAGATCACGGATTTTATGTAATGTGTTGAAACGGACCTGGATCTTGTGTTTATTCAAGATTTTGGAGATCTTTTTTGTGATCCCCACAATGTAGGGTAAAGTGATGGTTTTGAAAGGCTCCTCAAGAGGGTCCTTCTTCATGGTTTGAGTGATAGCTTTGCGGATTGTATAGTCGGAGTAACCATTAGCCTTAAGAGCTTGGTGTACGTACTTGAGTTCACTGCCTATGTATTCCTGGTCGGATATGCATTGGGCTCTATGATACAGAGTCTTGATGAGAGAATTCTTCTGTGATGGATGGTGGTGGGAATCCGGTTTCAGATAAGCATCCGTATGGATGCTTATCTGAAACCGGGACCATAGTCACCAAGAAAACAATTGGTAACACACTACGCCATGAAGGACTGAAATCCTGCAGCGCCCGCAAGGTCCCCCTGCTCAAGAAAGCACATATACATGCCCGTCTGAAGTTTGCCAATGAACATCTGAATGATTCAGAGGACAACTGGGTGAAAGTATTGTGGTCAGATGAGACCAAAATGGAGCTCTTTGGCATCAACTCAACTCGCCGTGTTTGGAGGAGGAGGAATGCTGCCTATGACCCCAAGAACACCATCTCCACCATCAAACATGGAGGTGGAAACATTATGCTTTGGGGGTGTTTTTCTGCTAAGCGGACAGGACAACTTCACCACATCAAAGGGACGATGGACCGGGCCATGTACCGTCAAATCTTGGGTGAGAACCTCCTTCCCTCAGCCAGGGCATTGAAAATGGGTCGTGGATGGGTATTCCAGCATGACAATGACCCAAAACACACGGCCAAGGCAACAAAGGAGTGGCTCAAGAAGAAGCACATTAAAGTCCTGGAGTGGCCTAGCTAGTCTCCAGACCTTAATCCCATAGAAAATCTGTGGAGGGAGCTGAAGGTTCGAGTTGCCAAACGTCAGCATCGAAACCTTAATGACTTGGAGAAGATCTGCAAAGAGGAGTGGGACAAAATCCCTCCTGAGATGTGTGCAAACCTGGTGGCCAAGTACAAGAAACGTCTGACCTCTGTGATTGCCAACAAGGGTTTTGCCACCAAGTACTAAGTCATGTTTGGCAGAGGGGTCAAATACTTATTTCCCTCATGAAAATGCAAATCAATTTATAACATTTTTGACATGCGTTTTTCTGGATTTTGTTGTTGTTATTCTGTCTCTCACTGTTCAAATAAACCTACCATTAAAATTATAGACTGATCATTTCTTTGTCAGTGGGCAAACGTACAAAATCAGCAGGGGATCAAATACTTTTTTCCCTCACTGTACATTAGCAGATGATTGTTGCGGCTGTAAGCTCGCTCCTAAGCTGCTGTTGCTGACGTGTGTGTGTGTTTGTGTGTTTGTGTGTACGCGTGTGTGGCTCTTCTTTTGAACAAAATAATGAAGGGTGCATGGGAGCATGGCGGTGAGGTGTGGGAAGCTGTAAGCCCCAGGCTACTTTGGGCTCGCCTTCCCATCAACCGGAGGCGAGGAGTGGTGGTCGTGGTTACTTATGCCCCCACCGAAGACGAACATCCGTGGAGGGATGCTGGCAAAGCCGATGAGTCAGATGCCTTCTATGAACTCCTGTCACAGGTGCTGGCTAAAGTGGCCCCTCGGGATAGAGTCATCTTGTTGGATGACTTCAATGTCCGAGTTGGTCATGCTGTGAGCACCTGGGCTGGAGTGATTGGAGGGCATGGGCCAGATCAGCTCAATAACAACGGTAGGAGACTGCTAGATTTTTGCACAGCCCATGGACTTGTAATTACCAACATGCTGTTCCGGCATCGGCGCATCCACACAACATCATGGATGCATGCCGGGTCCAAGCAAGAACATCTGCTGGACTACATAGTGACGGACCAGCGGATGCGAGCCCATGTCCTTGACACCAGGACCTACCGTGGAGCTGATCTGCCCTCTGACCATCGACTAGTCATCTGTAAGATGCGCCTGCCATTCTTCCACTCCGGTGGTGGGTGTACACCCAGGACCCCATTCCAACCTAAAGTGGCCTGGTCTCAGTTAGCTGATGAAAGTTGCAAGCGAGAATGTCATCATCACTTGCGGCTGGGGTTGGCATCGTCCCCCACTCCTCGTGATGTCGAGGGTAAATGGGCGAGGTTTAGGACTGTGACTCATGCAGCTGCAATGGCTGCTTTGGGTACGCGGTCCAGACCTCCCCAGAGACCCTCGCTGACAGAGGAGGTGTTCAGGATGGTTGAGAAAAAGCGACAGGCCCACTGTCCACGGCTACCGAATCTCACATCAGAGAATGAGGAGGCTTACCGCAGCCTTCGCTCGGAGGTTCGGAGAGCCGTGAGGCGCTGCAAGGATGGGTGGTGGTCGCGGGTTGCTGAGGAGATGGAGTCTGCCTCAGTGGCCCGCGATCACAAATCTCTATTTAACTCCATCAAAAAAGTAACCTGCAGCGCCACACCTATTACCATCATTAGGGAAAAAAACGGTGTTCCAATCTCCGACCCCCAGGAACAGGTTTGCAGATTTGCTGAGCATTTCTGTGAGGTCCTGGGGGAGGGGAACCCCCTCAGCCAAGAAAACATCATGGCACAAAGTGGAGATGACCCTGCTGAGGCTGCGGTGCCTCAGATATTGGAAGAAGTCACCCCCTGTGAGTGGCTGGCTGAGGTGCCATCTGTTGAGGAAGTACTGAAGGCGATCCGGAGTCTGAGACCAAGCGAAATGCTGAGGGAGGGTGGCATTTGTGCACAGACTGCCCTATATGACATCATTACAACAGTCTGGACCACTGGACGGGTTCCGCAGGATTGTAAGGATGCCCTGGTGGTCCCCCTCTTTAAGAAGGGGGACCGCACAGACTGTAACAACTACAGGGGCATCTCACTCCTCAGTGTGCCAGGAAAGGTCCTGGCAAGGATTATTCAACATCGCCTTGCCAGGCACGCTGAGGATAGGCTTGTGGAGCCCCAATGCGGTTTCAGGAAAGGGCAGTCCTGCACAGATGCCATATTTTCTGTCCGTCTGCTACAGCAGAGGTGTAGGGAATTCCAACAAGACCTACATCTCTGCTTTATTGACCTGGTCAAGGCCTATGATATCATCAGTAGGCCTGGGCTCTGGGTTGTTCTTCGTGCTTTTGGAGTCCCTGACCCCCTGCTCACGATCATTAAGGAACTTCATGATGGTGAGTGGGCCCAGGTAAAACTATGTGGCCGGGAGTCAGAGCCATTCCCTGTACACCTTGGGGTGCGACAGGGATGTCCTCTGGCTCCCACATTATTTTACATCTATTTTGACCACATAGTTCGTGAAGCCTTCAATAGCTGTACCGGGGGAATCTCCATTTGGTACAGATATAATGGGAGGCTGATCGATGCCCGGGTGCGGTCAAGGGATGGCTCCCTATTGATCAACCACATTATGTATGCCGATGATTTGGTAATAGCTGCTCATTCAGAGGAGGAGTTGGAGACGCTGCTGCTGAGACTGGAGCGTGCCACTAAGAGATGGGGCCTTACCATCAGCCCCACCAAAACTAAGCACCTGCCTGGGTATTTTGTACCATCGGACACTCCACCCCCACAACTCCCAATCAGTGATGGGGCAGTTGTGGAGAGAGTGGAGAGTTTCCCATACCTGGGCTGTGTGCTTATGCCCGGCTCCAGTTTAACAGCAGAGGTCTCACTCCGAATTAGTCGAGTGGCAATATCTTTTCATCGGTTGCGTAACGTTGTGTGGAAGCTACCTGGTCGGTCGCTCCGCACTAAGCTTCAGGTCTTCTCGGCCACGGTCATTCCTTCCCTTCTCCACGCTTGCGAAACGTGGACCCCCCTAATGGAACATCTTCGCCGGTTAAAAACATTTAGGCTAGCCTGCCTACGATCCATCCTGGGTTTAACCAGGCTGGATTGTGTGAGGAGCTCACAAATCCTTGAAAGATCTGGGCAAGGTCCCATCGGTGAGCTCCTCCTGCAGGCAAGGCTGCGTTGGCTGGGTCATGTAGCTCGCATGCCCAGCCACCGCATGTCGAAAGAGCTTTTGTTCGGCCGGATCGAGGGGGCTAAACGGGTGCGGCACGGGCTAGGGAAGAGATGGAGAAAGAAGCTCTCTGGCAACTTGCTTTTCGTAACATTTTCAAGGGTGTCATGAACCCCGCGTCCCTTCTCGAATCCAGTCTCCCTCCTTCCGTCTCTCCCGGCACGCATCTCTCAGCGCCTCCTTGGCCCATTTTTCAAACCGAAAAAGTTCTACAGGGTGGGTCCAGATGAATTGTGACCCCCCCCCCACCACCCCTCCAAATTAATTGACCCCTAACATTTTTTCCCATTGCATATTTAAATATATATGACGTTTTAGACAATTCAAATCGGGGGAGGGGGGTCACAAGTCATATGGACCACCCCCGTATAATCTGTTTAACGGTGGTGTTTCTGAACCACGTGTCTTTCGCAGGTAGGCGCATCTCTTTTAGTTGTTGTTAATGCACTGCATAGCGCAACGCGCGTAAGGCTGCCAACGCTGCAGCGAACAAGGAAGGCGCGAGCTGGTCTATTTAAACGCGGCGGTCATCCCGTCGACGTCCCACTGTAGAGACGGCGCGTGCTCGTCGGATGTCACGATGTTCTCCCTTGCAGCCGCCAGTGATGCTGGGACACAGCAAGAACACAGCCCGGAGAAGAGTACTCAGGTGCAAACATTTACAACAAAAAGATCCCCCGTATAGCCCTAACAGACTGTAGGGGCAAGTGCTGTTAGCGAGCACCTATGAAGGTCGGTAACGGTACACGAGGGGGTGGGTGGCTAGCACCACGCCCGACCGCCTTTGTCTCCCTAGTGGCAATGTTTACACCACTGCACCAGGTCCTCATTTGAGGCTGATGGGTCGACTGTCTGAGATGACTGGCAGATGCACCACCTGTGACCCCGACTGTGCCAACTTGCTGTGCTTTATCCGTACGGCGCTGCGCTCGTTGTTGTGAGCGTTGCTCCCCATACAAAAAAAAATCAAAAGACAACGATCCCCAGTATAGCCTTAACATACTGTTTGGTAAAGTGTCTTCAGCGAGTAGGGCCTGTGAAAGCCAAACACGCACACACACACACCTTGTAATTGAACACAGAGCCAGAGGGCTCTGCCGAAGGGTGTTGATGAAAATAAATCCAAAAGCAGAGTCACTGGGCAAGCCGATGATAATCACAAATAACACGGAATTAGAATTTGTAAACTCGCGTTGCCTTTTGTTTTCATTTCGCGCAGAGGGGCGCAAAGCCTGTGGACAAGGCGGCCCTGACGGGCGCCACCAACGGCCGCCCCAAGTTCTGTTGGCTCCTACGTCGCCGATGCTCGACCCAACTTCCATATCGTGAGTGTTTTCGACGCGTGCGAGGAAACCTGGAGGCGCCCGGAGGAAACCCGCACGCGGTGCGGTCACCCGCGCTGGACTTCTTCCGCGCCAACCGCGCTAAAATCGAGATACGCTCAATCCCCGTACATGGCGTGAATGGACCCACTTGCTGTGCTGCCACCCGTGGCGGGCACGGAGGGAGTTTTACGAAGGTGTGTTCCGCCAACCCTCGCAGCCTGCACAGTGCAGGATCACAGGCCACGTGCAGCAGGGCCACCAGCGCCCAGCCGATGGTAACGACGCGAATGATGGCACCCTGCACCTGGGCCATCTACGTACGTCTGTGTGTTGGACTTCTTTCGCGCCGTACGCAGTCAGCCGTGCTAATCGGGAGGTGCCGGGGGAAGGGCAACAAACGGAACAACAAAAAGCGATTCCCGAAGAAATGAGCTCGTCAATCTCGACGATTTTTAAAGTGCACAGCCCCGGCGGAAGAGTGTTCCAGACGGCCGCAGGGCGCGCGTCTGAGAGCGCGCGACGCGGGCGACCGTCTTCGTGCGGAGTTGGCGTGATGACGGCTCATGCTCCTTGACGAGATTCAGCGAGGGCGTTGCAGCTCGCTTGCGGCGAGCACTGTTTGCGCAATGAGCGCGATCCGATGACAGTGTGTTTGGTCAGCAATGCAGCTCTGCGAGCACTGGACGGACGCGGTCGGACCTTGCAGCGCCCGTCACGACGCGTGCCAGAGAACGAATGTCCATGTTGCCGCCTGTGTTCCATGGACTTCAGTGTTCACCCGACGCAATGCTTAGCCTCGCACATCAGTTTCACGTGCGCCGTACGCTACGAAGAAGTGCCGTTGGCCCCCAAAGAGGTCGCCTGTTATATAATTTTCTCTTTAGGCCACAGTGTTATTATTGACGAAAGTGTTGAGCCGTTGTTGTTGTTGCTAATTATGAGGGCGCATATAGGTCGCGTACAATCACACTCAGCAAATGAAGGCAGCGGAGCGTTTTTTGACCCATTCGCTAATGTTACAAAATAAATCCCTTAGTGGTAGTCATCGTTACCGACAGACGTGTCACGTTTTGCATTACAAAGTTGCTCCTGCTCGCTCAATTCCACAGTCCGCGCTGTGCCTATCACTCGCCTTTGCTCGCATTGGCTCCACGGCCAAAAGAAAAATCGATGTGGTTCGTTATATCGGCTCGATATCTATCTTTCTCCCGACGACGCGGTGGAAATTTTCTGAATCGCATTAAAATAACTAAATCACACTCGCGGCGAAACTGTATTGGCAATGGCGTATCCACTGCGCCCTTGCTCTGGACGGGAATAATCCAACTCTTGATTCGTGTTTCTTTTAAAGGCGGCTCGTCGTGAGCAGCGCTCTCATGTCTCTCCTGGACGTCTGTGACAAAGAGCTTCATGGCTCATCGGATTTGGAATTAATAAATACTGATTCTGATGTTTCAAATATAATCCCACAGGGTCGCGTTTAAAAAAAACACTTGTAAATGTGTTCATGTCCGTTAAGTTTCAGATTGTTTTTTTTTTTGCACATCCGTCAACAACACCCCGCGTGCGTGCGCGGGTGTGGCCTTAAAATAAAAGATATATAATCGACAACGTTTCGGGAAATGACCCTTCTGCATGCTTTTTTTTATATATATAACTTTGGATCGTTTACATCGCGTGCCGTACTTAACGCGCATTGTCCTTGCGACGATGACAATCGTGTCGTCCTATTTTGTACGGGAATAAATAAACCCCCCCCCCCCCCGCGAAAGTGACCTCACAGCAGCAACGTTAACTATCCCTGTTCTCGGATCAATCCGATCAACAACAACAACAACAAACAAAAAACACCCTTAATTGCCCATCTCGTTGTGTAATTATATTATCTGATAGTATATTTTGGATTAATCTACGGAATCCGGAGCACTAACCCCATGCGTCAATCACTTCACAAATTGACGCCGAATTTATTTGTTGTTGTTGTTGTTGTTTAATCCACAGCGACAAATCTCGATTGTGAGTCAAACCCGTGCGCTGGGTTCAATTCTGTGTTTCAAACTTTAATCCCACGAAATTGAATCCAATCGGCTGACAGGCCAAGTTGTTAAGGCCATAGCAGCCATGTCTCCACGGGTCAAATTAAATAAAAACAATTGAAAAAAAAAATACCACGTTTGCTGATGGTTCTCACCTGCTGAATGCTGAAATAAAGAATCTATTGATTTTATATTGTTTGGGAGGCGAGATTATTCGACGTCGTAGAACGGGGGTCGTGCGCAATTTTTCCCACACGCGCGTGCGCGCACACAGCCAAAGATCCCCCGCATCGCCTTGAAGAGGCCGATGGGGGCAAGTGTTGTTAGCGAGCACCTATTAAGGCCGCTAACGGCACATGATCGAGGGGGGTTGTGTGGCAAACGCCACGCCCGACCGCCTTTGTTTCCCCGGGTGGCGATGTTTACACACACACACACCACACCGGGTACTCGTATGAGGCTGAGTAGATCTAGGGGAGGCCCAGGACCTGTATGGCGGAAATCGTCACCGGTGGTTGTTTGTGAACGAGGGAGTCGAACTCGGGTTGCAAGCCGTGGCAACTCAACCGCTCCCCCACACACACGAGGGCACTCGCATGAAAGACAACAGAGAGAGACGAAACCCCACCATCAATTTTGCCATCCGTAACCAACAAACAAAAAAAACATGCTCTCCTCGATTGTCACCACCGTAGTGTTGAATTGTGTGTGCCCGCCACAGCGCTGTGATATACTGGGGGTCGCGTTCACACTCGCCGATGGAACCTAACGTTGGGCAAGTTCCCAGGGTGGTAAACATTCGAGTGCCTTTTCTGCGTGGCGAGTCCGCTGGGCTGCCTCCAAAACAAGAGAGGTGGGAGGGGTCCCAAGGACGTTCCGTGCAGCCGCCGCTACCGCTCTGCCTTGCACCACACTGCGGGTCACAACAACTCGCTCACTCATCCCACCCAACCACCACACTGCAGGTCACAACATCTCGCTCACTCATCCCACCCAATCACCACACTGCAGGTCACAACAACTCACTCACCCACCCGCTCGCTCACTCACTCATCCCACCCAATCACCACACTGCAGGTCACAACAACTCGCTCAATCATCCCACCCAACCACCACACTTCAGGTCACAACAACTCACTCACTCATCCCACCCAACCACCACACTGCGGGTCACAACAACTCACTCACCCACTCACTCATCCCACCCAATCACCACACTGCGGGTCACAACAACTCACTCACCCACTCACTCATCCCACCCAATCACCACACTGCGGGTCACAAGAACTCGCTCACTCATCCCACCCAATCACCACACTGCGGGTCACAACAACTCGCTCACTCATCCCACCCAATTACCACACTGCAGGTCACAACAACTCACTCACTCATCCCACCCAATCACCACACTGCGGGTCACAACAACTCGCTCACTCATCCCACCCAATCACCACACTGCGGGTCACAACAACTCGCTCACTCATCCCACCCAATCACCACACTGCGGGTCACAACAACTCGCTCACTCATCCCACCCAATTACCACACTGCAGGTCACAACAACTCGCTCACTCATCCCACCCAATCACCACACTGCGGGTCACAACAACTCACTCACCCACTCACTCATCCCACCCAATCACCACACTGCAGGTCACAAGAACTCGCTCACTCATCCCAACCACCACACTGCAGGTCACAACAACTCGCTCACTCATCCCACCCAATCACCACACTTCAGGTCACAACAACTCACTCACCCACCCACCTACTCACTCACTCCTCCCACCCAACCACTACACTGCAGGTCACAATAACTCACTCACTCACCCACTCACTCACTCATCCCACCCAACCACCACACTGCAGGTGACGACCCTTCTCTTTCCGCTCCCTCCCTCCATTTGGAATTCCCTTTTGCCAATAAGTTGTTACAACCTCGCTCAGTTCAAGCGAACGTGTTAACTCCCATCACAACCTTAAATCGTGCTGTTTGCTGTTGGCCACTTGGCGTATTGGACCCTGCGCCTTGCAACCACAATTCTAACAATACCGCACTGCAACCACGATTCTAACAATACCGCATTGCAAAAGCCTCTCTTCTCCACTGCCGAGAAATCTTGTTCTGAAATTGATCCCACTTATTGTACTGCTGTGTGTATCCTCGTTTCAGACTTGTACAAACATAATAATGCACAGCCATTGGGTCAGTCGACTGCTTAAAGGAGGCTTCATGTATGTAAGTTGAACTTCTTTCGCACCGTACGTAGCCAACCGTGACAATCATCATGCCGTGTTGGCTGTGAGGGCTCTTTAACCATACTTCACCACGCTGGGCATTGCCGATTGGTGGCGAGTGTTGGAGGAAGAGGGAGTGATAATGTTTGGGTCAAATATCGCTTGCAACGAATCGAACTTCACGTACGCTGGGTCCACACAGCTCAGAACGTTAACCACTGCACCACCACTCCACCATCGACAGTATTTTGTGCAAACAAAGAAAAACCCTAATGACCGCGTATAATTACAAATCCATGGCTGTCTCAGCGCTGTGACGATCCTTCGTTTATTTACTCACCCCTTGGTTGTAAAGTCTTCAGGCGAGCTCGTCAGTAGACGCTTCATAAAGGCAACGTGGAGTCGAACAGAACATCCGCGCGCATCCTCATCAGCGGGCCCTTTCAGAGCCCATAATGGAATTCCTAAATAAGAGACTCGCAAGTCCCAAAGCAAGGGCACCGAAATAATCAGTCTTTTTGTTGCTACCTCGTTTAAAAAAAAAAAAAGAGCCACGCGCCTCTGAGACCGTGCAGTCCTAACAGCTCTTCGTCGGCAAAAGAAATATAAATGTCACGGGTAAGTAAAAGTGCAGCCCTGCAATTGTTCGCTCACGCCACTGCTGGTGGAAAGTCCTCCACTAGAGGGCAGCTCTCCAGAGCCCCTCTAGGAGGCGATTTTTGGCTCTACTATTCGAAAATATTCATTTTTTTATTTTACCACGTAAGGCCCACTGAGCTGTATATCTCTATTTTCAGAAGGGGCCTGGTCACAAATGTAAACTCACCGAAGTGGCTTATCACGTGGAAAAGTATAACATACAAATACTCTAAACGCGTGTTTCCAAATGTTGTAGAGGGGAAAAAAAACCGGAGGACGCGGAGAAAAATCTACGCGACCACGGGGAAGAGAGACGCGCAAACCCCACATATGCAGGCGTCTGGGTCGGGATTGAATGCACGACTTCCTGTATACCAGGCGAGGTAGTTAACATCTCGCCTCATCTCTTGTATCTGTGGCCCTCGGCTTTAGCCTCCACCTACCCTGTACATTGATTTGGTTTACATCATTTCGATATTCGTCGTCGCACCTTGCAGGAACGCATCCCCAACGTAAACCGAGGTGTTATTGTAACTCGCCCCGGACAGGGGGTTGTTTGGGGTTGCACAGCCCGTGGTGACGTGTACTCTCGTCGATTTGCCTTCACGAAGGATGCGGTGTGTGACCTGACTTGGACAAGAAAACTTTCCCCCATTCAAGTTGCTTCATCTCTTTCTCTCTCTCTCTCTCGCTTTCCCTCTCAAGTCAGCCGAGTCGCTCGACACTGTGATGTTCTAGAATGAAACAATAGTTTGGCCGGTTGCGTGCACAAGCACAATTGTTTGGAACAAAATGAATATTTGAATATATGTAACGCATTCATCAATGGCACAGGCGGTAGAACGAGCGACTCGCAGTCGCAATTGCCGAGTTCGAATCCTGGATGAGAGTCGACTCAGCCCATCATCCCGCAAGGGTCGATACAATCCGTACCACTGTTGTGGGGAAGTCAAAAGTGGTCGGGTCTATCGACACTGGCCCCCGCCACGGGAATCAGGAATTCCCAAAACCGGCTCAAGGCCTGTAAACAGGAGATGGATGGCCATCACCACAACGATTGTTGCGCATGCAAATCCCGTTGACGATGAACAAGAAAGCACCACCTAGTAGCAAACGTTTCAGGCGATGACCCTAACCTATAATGAGTGTCTCTCGCCAGACTGTGCTCCCATTGATAACGAGACAGTTTGAAAATCCTGGACAGGTCCATGAAACAACAAACGGCGTCAAGGCAGACATCGCCACTGATAAGAGCGAAGCATGTTGACTTGCCAGTGGAACCACAAAACATAAACATTCTGCACTGCAACTAACACTGATGGTACCTGAATTAAAATAAAACAGCAGTTTCCTGCACAAATGAACATTGAGGCAGTGCTCATCGATTTACGGCCTTAAACCGGCGGTGGAAATTCCACAGTCCTCTGTCAGGGGCGAGTTTGGTCGAGCAAACTCTAAGGCAGTGTTCTTCACTAGGCAGATAAGGGGCCGTCCATAAATGACGTCACGCAATTTTGGACGATTTTTAACCCCCCCCCCCCCCCTCGTCACAC